GTCAATTTGTTAATATTTTGATCCAAATGAGACAAAAGACTACCATTGTTAGCATATTGCATAACAATCATGTACTCTTTTGTTTCTGGGTCTTGTGTCACTCCATAAATTTGAAGGAAACGATGATAATGATGGCTGCTGTTTATGCACTTGGCATGATTTCTGAACTATTAAATAAAATACATACAGAGTCAGATTCAATATCACCAATATCCCTTTAATTAATACTACCAATTATTGATTACCTCGGAAATAAATAATTTTGTCGTTTCATCAAACTTCTTAAACCGTTTAAGTACAACAGGTTTAGCTTGTTGCATATTAAAACTCTCTCTATATCGTTTATAGTTGGCAGTATAGACAGTTGCATAACCTCCAGATCCAATTTCCTTAATTTGATCAAAGTCAGTATACTGCATATATTTGACATATACATTGGTTTGTATAAATTTGTCCACTATTGCATGTATGTCAGGGTAGAACACTATATAGTATTCTCGAGTAGACGGCTCTTGAGATATCCCAATTATCCAAATATTATCAGGTGTTATTATCTCTGGGTATTTCTTAATTAGCTATTTATTGAATACGAGGTTAGAACACTGATTGATTTAAACACGCGATACTAATACATTTGAAATAATTTACCTGACGGAAATCAAACGATTGATCATCATGTTTGTCAACAACTATCTTCTTTAGCATCACTTGTGTCAATTCATTCGTTTTCAAGTCTAACCAATCTGCTATATGTGTGCATCCATGATGTAATAATGTCATCTCTTGTATGTTTGTCAATAGAGAATACTCTATCCATTGTATATAAGCATCATATCCATTCTTTGTATTCTTCCATGATTCCATAATAAACGAATCCAAAGACTTGTTGCTAGTTGTCCAACCCAGTGGTCTTGGTGCTTTACATGTCCAACAGAATGCATTTATCTCTGGTACGAATCGATTTGCGCATGCCAGACATAATCCATGATTAACTTTGATTAAATAATACCTTGCTTTGTAAGTGAATCCAATGGTAACCCAAACATTATTGATAAGAATATCTGGATGCTCATCACATAACTAGTGGAAATGATACGTCAATAATCATTAAACAATTCAATAAACATGACGCATAAGTAAATGTCTTACCTCGGCATAATATAAATCATGTGTTTCGTCTGTTATTGCAAGCGGAGTCAAGTTAACACGTTCGTAACTGGAAGTGGGTAGGCCTAATAAGTCTGCTCTATATAGCCACGTATGATAACCATCATCATTAACACAATCATATGGAATCCATTCCAAGTAGGCATCATTTGCAGAGTTTGTTTGTAATTGAGATTTCTTAATAAACTCATCTAGTTGGTTATTGTTGCTGGTCCATCCATCGGATAATTGTTTATGTCCACATATGCACCACACGGGACTACATCGGAGTATTCCACATGCAGGGCAGAAGCCATATCGAGAATAACAATCGTAAAAGCATCTACCAGCAACCATGTAATAGCTACCATCATACTTGGTAAATCCATTTATCAAACTGTTGCGATATTTAAGCCATACGGAATATCTTTTGAAGTTGTCACTTTTACTATTGTGCTTGTGTGTTGGAAATGCGTATATTCTAGCAAACTCACTCACAAATTTTGGTGTACATATTTTATCGTTTCCAAGCAACACCAACGTTATCTTACGGTCATATGCTTGCCTGTAAATAGCGTAATGGACGTTGTCAATTTGAGTTGGTTTTATGTCAGTAATGAGCGAGCAAGGAATCCATCTAAGTTTCTGATTTGATAGGGAAGATTGAATCAAGCCGTCAATTGCTAGACTACGAATGTCCTCTGGAACTAACGACATGTTTTGAGTAAAGAAACTTTTCAAGTACAATTTTTCGGAGAGCATTCTCACATTTTTTGTGTTACATTACCATTTACAGCCGCAAATAGTGATTGTTTAAATGGTATGTCGTTATTCACTGCAAGTAAAAGCACATAGTCTTTTGCAACTGAGTAGGGGAAAAACACCAGTACGCAGTCAAGCGCTAAACCTCCACCAATACATTTATTGTGTCACGAGCTTGCATCTTGCTATCAATCTTTTAGTTTTACAGCAAAACCGAACGTTACTGACGAATCTGAATTCCGAATATTCTTACCAACGATGTTTGGGTTACTATTGGATTAGATTACATATGATTCACGTAAACAAAAATAAAAGACATGATGAGAGTGAAAGATGTCTGGCTCAATCAGCCTTTGTTGGAACTTCTCGATTGGACTACGGGCAAACAATAATTGATGAACGGGGATGTTTCAATGCAATCGACAAGTGCGTATCGCGTGTTTAAATATTGTAACAACTGCATTCGTTTACTCAAGAGCTATCTACTCGAAATAATATGCAGTATACTGACTGATGAAATAAAGGAAATTGGATTCGATGGTTATGGAATGGCCTATACTGCAAAATATAAAGGCAAGTTAGAAGAGCATATGACGGAACTTTTGATGAAACGCCGGACTTACTTATCTTTGAGGTAGATACTATTGATTAAATCGATATTTAATAGTTCATGCTGAGTCACACGTCTAATGGACTAAATTATGGTTATATGCCCTAGTAGAATAAAGGTGAACATATGAAAGCATTGATTACATTAACGTTGGTAACATTATTATCATGCAATATAAAGTATTATTATTGTTAGGATAAAGAAAGACCTGTAATGTTCAGCAGTTTTGAATTCGAAACTTTTGGTGGCGATATTATGTTAATTTGTTGCAGCATATCCCATTGAATAAACGGTTTTTTTTTTGTTTTTTTTTTTACTTTCTTCAATACATGATGTTAAGTTATATGTAATCATATGTAACCAGCATTGTAAAAATGCCCAGACTGCTCTCTTGCTCTACAACCAATCAATGTACCAATTTTGATTGCATGATAAAAATACGAAGAGAAATAATTACTTTGTTATAAAGAAATGATGGTCGCTTTTATAGTATGAATTTACTTTTATGACTGCATTCAAACGTTAGCTATTCGTAAGTATATTATTTTTGAACCGAGCGTTATTTTGTTCATTATTATTTTTATTACTTCTTCATTATAATGTTTCTAAATTTTAAGAACGCAGGCACAAATTTGTAGCTGAACATTTATAGCTCTGGTTATATTTACATTGTTACGAGTCTTATTATAACCACCCATTGCCATAAATAACTCTGTGTACCATCTTGACTTTGACAGTGGCTTATATATAACGATTGGTTGCTACACGTTGTCTCACTGTCTTTGTGTTTACCAAATATTTCATAAATGCTTGCGAAACTGCTCTGCAATACAAAGTGGGCATTAACGACAACCATGAGCTCGCCAATTCCATCACTTAATACCGTTTAATAACGCTGTTATTCGACAGCCATTACCGCCGCCATAGCCCACAGTTAAGAAGACGATATTGCGAATATTACAAAGAACGATATACTGTATAAAGTTTTATTTCTAATGTACGTAATATTTCGACGATTGTAATAATACACCAGATGTCAAAACACGTGTTGCGATGCCAAATCCTTCAACTCGTATAATATGCATGGATGTTACTGGAATATTGATATAGCATTGTTATTATCGTAACGTGGTGTCGGAAGTGAGCACTAGCAAGCTCACTCACATTTGTTGGTGTAATAGAAGCATTGTCTTCGTTCCCTCAATTCTACCATTTAACTTAATAGTGTAAGAGATCATGAGCGAATTGAATCAAGCCGTCAATTGTTGTGTAAGTCGCTAAATCCAACGACATGGTTATGAAGTAAATACAACCGATTTTTCAAGTGATTACAAAATTAGACGCGCCGCGGTGATTATCTATTGGTGGAAAAATGATTATTATCTTATCGGAATAACTAAAATAACGTCACAATAATGCACATATCGTCGGATAAACAACCAGCAAAGACAATGCGACGAGCGGAGCCTTTATGAATTGTTAATGAGAATCTATAATCCTTTCGATGGTATTTACAGAGCTTGCTTAACTGTGAATAATCTCAACTTACGGTTACAATAAAATTACGATATGTGCACAGCTATATTTAACGAACTACGATTTATTACCGATTCCTTTGCTATTAGGATATTCAATGTTTAGAATCTGATTTATTGTACCTAGGAGATTATCGTCAGCAAGAGCGTATTGACTACGTGAGCTGGAAGCCCTACTAACAGGCATCAATTATCAAGAGAAGGCTTCTTGGAATTAAAGTTAAGTATAAAGCTAAATCCGCTTTCCCTCTTCGTGTTACAGATGACTGTAAAGTGTAATTAAAAATTCGAAAGTTTCGAGCATGTTGTAAAATTGAAAAAATATTAAATAATACAATATGCGAACAATTCTTCTACCATTTACTGTATAAGAAGTAATAAGTTACCAACATCAACTTCGTTAGTCTTTTGTCACAAACTATATTGCCAATGATTATATCAATAAAAATTTTTTCTTAAGACAAAAGTATTGATACGCAGAAAACACTACTTGACGGTTGAAGGATTACATTGCATTAACTATCATTGTAAGTTGGCCTTTTCACATCCAAATAGAGATATTACGGACCGTGCAATAATTTAGATAAATTTCTGGGCGACAAAAAACTACCAGGCATTACATCAAATCTCGCGAATGTCAAGCAAAGCGAAAGGCTCGATACAAAGAGGAAATTGAAGAATGTGGATTACATCTTATGGTGTACCCATTCAATTATCATTATTATTTATTGTATAATATCTCTATTTGTTTCCCATCGTTTGGATATCTATTCTACCATACCACTATATCAGCTGATATACAAGAGGTAACAACGGTTGATATAACTAGCGAACGTCGAGCTTTAAACTTGCGTCTAGCATTTCGACGAAATAGACTTGCATAAATGCGTAGATTGTAATGTAACAGGTCCGTATCGAGCCCCTTCAAAATAAACTTTTCACTTGCGTTAACTACTTTCGCTGTCACGGGACAACGCACCTTCGTTAAATGCATACTGAATCGAATTGCCTATCCCTCCGAGATTGAGACCTATCCCAGCACAGATGTAAAACCACCTTGAAGAGCTCTGAAAGTGGGTTTAAAAAGAATTACAACGTGTATGATTAAGCAAAAGAGATAATAAATAATAACACTTACTCCTGCGAGCAGTCCAATATCATATACCATAATGGGAATCTGGGTATGTAAAACACACTATTAATATACGATGCAAAGTCTTGGACAAATGCCATTGTCTAGATGGCAACTCACCCATTGCAGTAAATATATTAACAAGTAACTAGAAATTTTCTTGGCTACTATCGCTTCCAAGTTTTGTCGGTTGGCCAATTCGTCGCTATACGCTGCTTCTATATTAACTCTAGCGCTAACAACACTTCGAATGACTTTGACGTAACAAAACAGGGTTACAACAAATGTAGCAGTACTCAGAACAAGCACGATGCACGGAGCAAATCTGGCAGCTGCACACCAATATTTCGCTGGACCTAATTCACGAAATTCTATTGCAATGGCTATGACAGCAGCAAAGAACATAATAAGAAATAACTTGTGATAATTATAACTAGGGTCAATTTCTTTTTGTTTGCATACTGGTAAGTAGAGAGTTGTGAAAAGAAGCATGATAGTCAAAGTCAACTTGGGTAAAAAATACGGAAGAAATGCTATTGGCTTTTATTAGGCTTGTATTTTTCGATGGTTAATTTACCTCTTAAGTATGTTGATACGGCCATTGTACATGCTAATGCCATCTGTGCGGCTTCTGTTCCTGTAATAAAAGCTCCTACGATAGTACATACTGGCTTATCCAACGGGCGGGCTTTGATGGCCAGGTAAATCTATAAAATAATCAAGTAATGTGTCATTTGGGCAGTGCAACATTGGACGTTTAGCAAAAATTGTGCTTACCATATTTACTTCATGTACCGCAAACAACATAAAAGCTTATGTCACGTGATAATGGGTGAGCATATATTCCATTCCGATAAAGTTGCATTATGCTGTGTGTTGCTATTTACCCACACTCACCCACCCTCTCTGCGATCTCACCTGTGATAGCAGTATAAAATGGGAACAGGAGGTTAGTCTCCAACGGCGATCTCTTTTTCCATTTTATAAACGTTCGCCAGAATATATAAATATTGCCCAGACAGTTAAGATGCAGGAATATGAATGTGATGCTTAATACAGCATAGAAGCCAATAATATCTTCTCCGGGATCGTCAAGTCGCTTTCTGTCCATTTAACATTGATTGGCAAATAAGAGTGATAGCGTGCTTGGATTTGGATAATGGATTTATAGATACTTATTATTATGTATGCGGAAAGCGACGATGTATGATATAGTGATAGTAGTAGTAATTGGTAGCATTGAATGGTGTTGATGGTTTAAAGCAAATTCGCCAGTCAAAGTATTAGTATGGCCTTGATGAAAATCTACATGTTATGTTGTTGTTTGGAAGTCTAACGTCTTGGGTATTTATCATTATAGTCGACTTGTTCTTTGACACTAACAATGTAGTCATATGATTCTGCTAACAATCATGTGATGGTCTCCTGCACATCGTACAAACATTCTTGGTTTGTCACTTTTTAGTAATTGTAATTGGACATTGACCGGTTTGGAATAAACACATTATTTCGACATTATCACATAAAAATTGAACACGTAGAGTCTGGTTCAGAACACTGGCATAACAAATGATCACTTGATGAACATCTTTCCTTACCGGATGAAGAATGATCACATGAATGCTATCTTCGTCTTTTGACGATTCTAATAGCATGCTGACTTTTAAGGAAATATTTCTTGGATAGATATATTTATCGATCATCTGATGCACGCTTTGGATAAAAAACCCCAATACTATGTTACAGCGGTTTAATGTCCACAATAAGGAATATTATTTTATTCTGCGAAAAAAATCAATACTTGTTACTAATAGTTTTTCCGTGACAGGGATTCAAGAAATTGCAAGATTTATTATTAGACTGTCTGGTTGCTTAAATAATTATAAATATTTGTGCAAGTCTAGTTATTATCACAATAAATAATGAAGCGTTATTTTTAGCTTCCAAATAAAATCAATACTTGTCTTTTTCCCATTCCCAATCGACCATTTACGGACGAGCTATTAAAAGATTTATCAAAAATTTATCACTCTGCGTGCGTGATAGCAACAGACCTCTATATACGCCAATCTATTAGAACATTAAATTCTTACATACATACATTCGCTGAGCTACTGTTTTCAATACGGTATTCATGTGAGCAATATTTATTGAAATTTCAACCGGCGTACTCGCTAATCATAATTTGTGGGATAATACTAATTAAACTATGCTATCGATTTCCCTGTTAGAAGTTCACATATTGTAACAACTCTCTTAGAACAGTGTCACGAAATTCAATACCTTTCCGGATAATTGATACTTTTTGGGATAGAAAAAATGACCCGGTAGATTTTTTCGCCAAATGAATTAAACGTTGTAGGTTTAGCATTAGATATATTTGTTAAGGTCGGACTGCATGTGGTATTAACGGACTAAGCGTATTTAGAATCGTCTAACCAGGTGGCGCAGCAGATTACTATCTTTGGATAGTCTTTTTTAATTAAGTTTTTTATGTAGCCTGTATCGGAAATCTCTCTTGTGAGACTTGGGATTTTACAAATCGCAGCGATGCATATATATCATTACCAATTTTGCTTTCAAAGATAAAACACTTTGACCAGAAACACTTTTACATGAATTATCTCTATTTTGAACAAATCAATTACGTCCATCCACTGCTTACATACACTCTGCTCTCCTTAACCCCGCCACTCGAACGTTGAGGGGTAGGCTTCCCAAAACAACAATGAATTATTGACAAGAGGAGAAAATTCTAAGATAAAAACTGGAATGAGTATATAGGAAGTTTGTTTACAAAAAAAAAGAGTTCAATAAAAGAAACAAAGAAAGCAATTTGCAATTAAAAAGAATGAGAAAGGGATGCCTTTTGTAACAGACTTTGCAGACTAGTGTGAAGAACTTGCTTGTCAGCAGCAATGAAATGATAAAGTTTGATAGAAGGTATATAACACGGGGAAGAGAAAAGAAGACGATATACTAAAGATCAAACCCAAGTTCTCGTTACGCAGGCCACTAAACAACGAAACGAAATTCACTGGAAATCTGCGAGTCTCTTGTCTCATCAGATCCAGTCTATAAATCTCTCGTTCCGTGCTCTAGCTGTATAAAGCCCGAAGCTCAGGAAAATCTCTGACTCACCCTATTAATACACCCAACTTTCAAGTTTATATATTTACTTGGAAATCCCACCGATTTTCCAACAATCCTTTCGCGGTATCTTCTAACAACACTTCTCGTCGACTTGCTACGTAAACTGTTTTATCTAATACTTGCTGCTTTAGCTCGGCAATCTTTTCTGCCTCTATAGGTTTCTCCAACAGCTCCGATAACTGCTCCACGGCCATTTCTAAATCCCTCTGGTTATCCTCAAAAATCTCCGTCTCGTTGTTCCTCGCAAGATAAAAGGCAAACGCATAAGTCCATTTTAATGTCATACGACACTGGACAAGTATGTCTACGGCTTTTTTGAGAAATTGCACTTCAATCCAGGATAGGTCAGAAGTTTGTTGCATTTCTTCCATTTTTTTTTCCGTCTTGTTATACAGTTCGCGATCTAACTTTGCGGATTGTTCATGATTTGCGAAGCGATTGTAATACTTTCGATGTAAGGAAGGAGATAAGAGAGTGGTTAGTATTGGGCATTTAATGCTAGAGCAAGTATCGTGTGCCAGTACTGAATGTTAGTACTATCCAACTGTATCACTATTCGCTATTAAAAAAAGGGGGGACTACTTAACTCTTCACCTCCTAAGCCAATGGCAAACATACTTACATGCAAATACCTGTCCAACGAAGCTCTCGATTTTGCTTGCTGATCCCTAGCCTCTTGACTGCTCTTCTCATCATACCTATTACAATTGTACCAACTAGTTCCATGTTCTGACCACGGCCCCATGCATACCCAGCAGAATTCGTATTTGCACTTGCGACAAGTCATATGATTACATCCTCCATTCTTCTCAATAGTCGAATGACACTTTCCGCATTCTTTTGTATTTGCCGAGATCCAGTTGGCTGTTTCCGAGTCATCCTCACATTTTTTAATCCATTTCTTAACTAGCATACAGATAGATGGTTGATGATCGGGAAGGCCACAGCCGAAGCAGAAGCGATAGGTACATGCGCATTCGACTGTTGGGACAATACTGGTTAAGGACGTTTGGGGTACGTGACATTCCACTGCGTATTCGCACGATGGAGCTGGACACCAACGTAGGTATTCATTGTCGTCGACATATGTCCTGTTTAATAGTCTTCGATATCTGTTGGAATCAAAGATCGAGAGAACGAATTAGTGTATTAAACAACAGTCCAGTAACATGCGACATAATAAATGAGGAATGAAGTTGGCTTCTAACATGCAAGACGAATTCACATTAGATTTGTAGTTAAATTGCTTCATATTGTACAGCCGATACTCCAACGACGCTTTCCCTGCCATACCATTCTATCGTCCTTACCTTTCGTGTATTTCCGGGCTTACAATAAGTCCCACTGTCTTTTCATCTACAATAACATTACATTTACTAGCCATGCACATTATCCGCCTACTCTCACCTTCCTCTTTAACCTTCTGTGTCAAATAATGTTCGTAACAATTACGGCAAAACCTATGTCCACATGATAACGCTAACGTAAGCATATTATCATCATCATCACAGCAAATCTCGCACACAAATCCCGGCATTCTGATGACCCTCGTCGCCCTAGAATTCTCAGTTATCACCCCCGCTTTCCGCAATACATCATGTGAATCATCCATATAGCGCTCGATAAGTCGCTCTTTATTCCATCTGAAATGACGAAGTAGTGTTGCAGCGTGCTCTTTTAGAATGCCAAGTATGTTTGCCACGTGAGTCACTTCTTCATCTTGGTTTTTGACGATGCCTTCGATAGAGTGTACTTTAAAGTCGACTTCATAAGGCTTTTTGCGATCTTTCTCGGCCACCACGACTTCAAAGTTTAGATCGTCGTCGGGATCGTCGAGTATGTCTTCCGTTTCTTATGTTATTCGTTATTGTAGTGTTTGGTAAAGAGAAAAGCCGAGTATGCAGTGTTAATGAGTGAATACATTGATATTTCGTAATTATGCAATATCTTCAGTATTTAGGTGTGATTAGTATGCATACGAGAACCGGAGGCCGGTTTCTATGCTAACATTGGCGATCACAGTATGTTTATTCCAAATGCGAAACAACATAACCTATACACACATCTCCGGACGTTCTCTCTCTCATTCCCGTTCCGTTCTTTACCTGATTCATAGTACGACATTTCACTCCCGTTATCCTCGTCGTAAGTATCAATGTAATCTTCTTCGGATAACTCTGACACCATTTCGATTCTCCTTCTCTTTCTCTGTGGGGAAGACGTTTTGGCAGAGTATTGAAGAGAAAGGGACGAAAATAAAACGTTCAGATATGCGAAGTAAGTTGGGGTAAGACAGAAGGGTGGTTATGGAGAAATGCAGCTAAATATAAGAAAGTAGATGTCAATGTCCTTATACGTTTTCTCTTTGACAAGAGACAAGAGACAAGAGCGCAGCGAGCTTAGTGAAGGGGGAAGTAAGCTGGCTTGTTGCGGTCTTATCCTTGTTAGGGTCTTTTGGCGACACACCTGGGGTTAGGTCTTTGATTTGTCACATGATTGAAGGCCGGAGAATGATAAATGAACTGTGGATTGGGTTATGCAAAGCATAAATTCTGGGGTTCGAACTTATAAATATTGGGACTGTGAAACCACATCATGAAAATCAACAAGAAGATTGAGAAATGAAGTTTTAAAGAGAATAGACTGAAAGTTATTAACATGTATAACATTATGATTATAATATATAGTAATAGTATAAGTATGAGAGTAAGAGCATAACAATTTGTATTAGTATATTACATAATAGACACGTCAGAAAAGACAACAGCAATCAGCACAGCAATTTGTCTTTGTGCCAACAGGACAGGAATTTCCTAAAATCTATTTACACAACTAACTGTTCGAATCATATATTCTTACAAATAACTAATTTTTTGAATTAGAAATTGGTAATTATCAACCTACCGACAAAATTATTTCATGATTATTATTGTAGAGTCAATAATAATGTATTCTTGCTGTTAAACCAATTCCTAAAGCACGTCAATTATTCTCAAATAATGTTAGAAAGCCGTTAATACAACAAGAATTATTAATTTTATACATTAATTTTACTTCCGGGGATCATTACAAAAATTCAAAAGTTTTGAAAAATTCCTCGACCTCTTTCTTCATTTCTGCCACTTGCGCTTTGGTTTGCAAGAGAACCTATTGAGGCAGTTGTTACCAGGGTTGGCATTCAATGCTTCTGTATTGTGAGTTCTGGTGCCAGGTGTATTTATAAAATGGGGCATGCTGTAACAAAATCAGACAAAGTGAACATTCTATTATGTGATGTAAATGAGACTGAATGTTAACTAATTTGACTAATTATAATAACATTTTGATTATCACAGCTGTAACTTATACACAAATTTATACAGTTTTATGTTAATACCATACCAGAATATGACTAACATTAAAGTTGGCCAAGATGAATATGAAGTCAACAACGTGATTAATATAGGATTATCTCTATATAAAAATATAATATGAAATTAATTTCTATTAAATCTACCATGGATCCCAATAATTACAGCACTATTAGAAGCATTTTAAAGAAAGTTTAAGGAGAAAAAATCGCTCCTTTACCTTATGTTTTTAAAATGAATGAGACCCAAACTCTCCAGGAATATCTAGATAAAGAAAAGATTGCTTATTAAATTTACCAATCTTTAAATTACTTCTTTAATTTCAATCAAGGTCATTTTTTTTGTTTCTTTAACTTCAATTTGAGCAACTTGACCATTTTGTTGCCCTATTTGTTTTTCTCTTCCAATTGCTTAATTTTTTCTTCTAAACTCTTTATCTTATCTGATAACTCTTGCTTCTGTCTTTTACTGACTTCTGGCTACTTCTTCCCTTTCTACTTTTAGTGCTTCTTCAGCTGTAGCCTTTCCTCTTATAGTTTATTTATTTGTCATTCATAGAAAGTAGTAGGTAAGAGAGGTAGCTCCTTTTCTTCCAAGTCTTCATTATAATACAGTAGCAAATATTCCTACCAGTAACAATTCAAAATCTAACTTAGTTTGCAATCTACCACATGTATTACACTTTAACAATTCATCATTCCAATACTTTTTTCACATCTTTCACAAACCATGTCATCTGAAATCTGTTCCCCCAGTTACTTTACTACGGACTCTTATTTGATAAACAGACTTGTTATTTTGTTTTCAAATTTAGAGCAAAAATCGCAAGTTTTTTTACTTTCTTTCTCCAATCTAAAACTACGTATTCCAGTTCTTCCACTTACTTTTGAGCAATCATTTCTTAACCTTTGTTTTGCTTGAACATGCTCAGGTTGATTTACTTTCTTCTTCAACAAGTAAGGTTTGCTGTTTAAATAGTGTAAACTCTTTAAACTTTCATTTTGTGATTCACTATCAGATAACTGCTTACTTAGTTTTTCTCCCTTTTGCTCTTTTGACTCTAAACTTTCAACTCGGGCTTCTAGATAAGAAAATTTTTCACTAGCGCTTTTGAGTTTCTTGTTTTTTTCTTTTATATCTTCTGCTTGATATCTTTCTCATTCTCCACTCGCCTCTAATAACTCAGTGCGATCTTTAACATCTTCTTCCAATTTTTTAATAACTTCAAAAATAACCTCATTTAGTTCTTCCTCGGTTCTGCTTATTAATCCTTTTAATTCTTCTTCATGCCAAAAATCCCATTGCCATTTTTCACGTCAACTGTCCCATGCAGTGTACTAGCCGTTTTGGGATTTAGTTCTTTTCCAACGGAAGCCTTTGCTCTTCCTACTTCAAACTAAATATCGATACAATTAGTGACCTTTAAACTAGGATTCATACTCACAATCTGTAATATTGATCTTGTATACGCCGTTCCTGGATTATTGTTTAACCTCGAGCAATCACTGCGATTTCTTTGATGGGATTAATCTCAAATCGGGAAATTATACTATCTAAACTGTTAACAATAATTAAATAACCCTGAATGCAAAAGCACTAAATAGAATTAATTGGCAAGGATTAATTCTATTTACCGTCGGCGGGAAAAGCGATTTACACTTCACAACCGATACTAAGTATCTTTTATCAGGGAATAATAAAGTTTATAATAAAAGAGAACTATCCTAATAGCAACGTCTTGCTGAATGATCTGAACTGAAGACTGTTCTGAAGATGATTTTTAGCTATCGACTACGACTCGTATTTATAACTAATTTTTGTATCACTAATTTGTCAAGAATTATGGCCAAATGAGATGAGTTTGTGGTTGTCAAGAATTTTTGATATATTGGGATGGACTGTCAAGAATTCCGTCCAAATATCCGGTGAATAAGTGTTCGCTGATCTACACTGCGCGGTCGGAGATTTTTGTACCACTAAGCGGAAATTAGGCCTTGATGCTGACACCCAATTGGTTTTTTCTTCTCGAGTTTCTTCCTTATGTCAAATTGATAGAAGTTCTGCTAGTTTTCTTTTAATATCTTCAGCTTGTTCTTTATACTTATTCAATTCTGATTTTTTTTTCATACTCTTTAATTTTAAGGGCTTGGTTTTCATTCTCAAACTTTTTATCAAATATTGTGGCCCGCGAGCAATTATCCTTAATTGTTGGGTTTTTCTAATAGTTTTCATGAGTTCTGTTAATATGTTTACCATTTTTCTTGTTTATTTTTATTCATTCTTTCAATATACTTACATCCTTTTTATAGGCTATATTAAATATATAATTGTTTTAATGTTTTCTTTTATTTAATTAAGCTTTAAAAATTAAAAGTGGGAGAAGCTAGCAATGTTCATTGAAAAATTAAACGAAAATTTAATGACAGCAAGGGAATTAACGCGTATTGAAATAATGGGGAAACTTTAATCTAAGTATTTATTCGTTACCAGTATAAATTGGTTGTGGACAAGTAATGTCTTTAAATTCATCTCTAACAAATGGGCAAATAATGTGATAAAAATATTCTTGCCTTTTGTAATAATACTAGGATGGAAAAGGATTTAATTTCTTTGATAATGTCAAAGAAACTCGCTTTCTAATTTTTATCAAGTAAAAGCACCATTAGCAACCAGTTGGGCTTTGACGACTCCAGGATTGGCTGCTTCGTATACAAAATGCTGATATTTTTGTAAGCCACTCAATTTCTTGAAGAAAATTTCCAATACGGAATTAAGATCTAAGTATTGAAAGCCTTTGCCGTTTTCATAGCACTGAGCTTTGTTTAATCCCGCTGTACTTGATTTTTTCACAACTCAACGATATGATTTACACAATCTACAGTTGTTTTGCGGTATGTTTCTTGATTAATCCAAAACTACCATCACGCTTAAATTTAGTATGTCCAGGTACCATAAAATTTAATTCGATACTTTCATAATAACCGCAAATTACTAAATATAGATAAATCAAATGGTAGCATTTATTTTTATTCTGTCCACTCGCATTATCACAAGTAATTTTTAAATTTTTTCACCTTTATTCAATCTCTTAATCCCATCGAATACTATGCTTAGCGTACCATTACCTTTCCCTATTATTTCGTTCTCATCGAGAACATAATTAATCTGTTCGCGTGCTGCTTCATCTTATAAATGTACTTTACGCGGACTAAGATACGTACGTAGTAAATATTACTAACTTGTTGATCGGAATGTGGAACATGAACATTTTGTGCCAATCGTAACTGTAATAAGCTGTGGCATCAACGCTACAATAATCAGCTTTACCTCTTGCTATGAAATGATTATCTACCGATTTTCTTTGTTCTTCTGCTAATTTTGTATTTTTGCGGTAATAGTTTCTCTCCAACTTAGCCTAGATGTTCTTTGTAATTTTTCAACAAATCTCTTGCTTCTTCTTCCTCGCGAGCATTATACTGTAAGTCATTCCGAAAATGTTGACATGTATCGCACAAATCCGTTCTTGGACTCATGATTTAAATATAGGGTGTTAATTGTTGCCATAACTTGCGGAACGCATCATATTTTAACAATTTCAACGTGCTATCGTTTTCGAGATCTGCAATAAAATCACGATAGACCGATTTGTAACTCGTTTCGGCTGGCAAGAGTGTAAGCGATTGAGTAATTCGGTTGACATTTCTCAGGACTTGGTAATTCTCGAGAAAATTCTTCACGGCGGTGGCAACGGCTATGTCAATGTCATTCATTGCTTTCAGTTGGGCCATTAAAAGTATATCTGGTTCGGATGTAGAGAGAGCTTGGAATGCTTCACGTACTTCTCTCTTGGAATCGAGTAAATTTTGACAGTTTTGTTACGGGTAGTAACTTTATCGAGGCTCCCGTATTATTAAGCCGATCAATTACAAATTATGCCGTTTAGCAACAGGTCGAGATTAATACTCCAAAAAGAAATTCGCTTGTGAACGTAAGCATTTTTTGTAGAGGGTTATTGACAGATTTGTTTTTATTACTTTAAACAATGTATTGTTTTAACGATATTTATTGCATTCTGAAGTGAACCAGTTGATTTATAATAAAATATGTTTGTTCATCATTAAGCTGCGTTAGACAACGAAAATTGGTTCTTTAAAAATTTTTTTTCTGGGCTAGAAAACGGGACCAATATTATTTAGTTACGACGCGCATTTGATTATCATTGGTCACACCCTGCGTACAATGACAAACTCCTAATACGGTAACGTAACGTCATTTATACAGTTCGCGAGATTTGAATTTATCTTTACGGAATTCACCAAAATGTTTAGGAATTTAAAACAGCCTGTTCAGAATAAAGAAAGACCCCGGAAAAGGAACAGTTTGAATCAGGAAAGAGAGAACGAGGCAAGCAGTTACGATACAATTGTGAGTCACCAGTCACATCCCGCTATGCTAACTGCTTTGGTTCAAAAAGAACTGCCAAACACAATTTCTTATAAAAGATTGGAGGCTGGTGATTGAACTAAAAGGCACGACGGCATATCAATTTCCGTTGACTAGCGAAGAAATCCAACACTTGACTCAACATTACGTTTATCCAGAAGATGACTTTTCGCCAGCATCAGCTGACGTTTTGAAAGGTGCGTTTTACAATCAAGAACTACGCAGGCCACTTACTAAAGCAGAAGAACAGGAATTAAATTATTATAATGAACAATTAAACAAATGGTCTGTCATCTCAACGTGATATATAGGCACTAGAGTCTACTCTATTTTAGTAGCTTTGATTAAATGATCTTGTATTTATCCGGTACAGGCAAAAGTCATTCGCCAAATTATACGACAAACTACGCGAAGGATCGTGTCCTTATTTCTACTTTATGAGTTCCGATGTGACGGCAATTTTTCTATCGCCCAAGGCAAGTGCGAATGGAGAGTTTGGGGCAATTGTCCATCGCGTACTGCCGGAACTTCGCAAGACACTTGAAGGAGCGAAAGTGACTTTGACAGCTTGTTCATCGATGGAGGAACAGACAATAACGAAGAAACTGTAAGATTGAATTAGTTTTGTAATTTGACATGCTCGATCTTGTAACTAATTATTGGTTTTGCTGGGGGTTGGTTTGTTTTTTTTTATAGCAAAATAAGTACACGTGATAAATTGGTGCAGAGTAAACTGAATCAAGTTCTCATGGTCAAAGGTGGGACTGACTTGGAGAGAATATACAAATGTTTGTTCGAATGGAGGATGAAGAGTTATGAGAAACGAGCACAAGCATTACCCGTTCTTCGAGCACCAGTTGGATTTGATCGATCTGCTACGACAGAAGCTGTAGTCGAGGTTCGTGTATGACGATATAGAAATCAAAGAAACTCTAATTGATCTGCTCGCAGTAGTCGATAGTTGCTTGTCTATGATCAATAGATTATTGGTGTTTTATTCCATGGTATACTTTCATACGCTATTAGTTCGATTAAGAATTATAGAATTGATTGTATTGATTAACTTTATTCTCTTATCCTTTCTGTGCCCAGGTATCCGATAAACCAACAATAGCAGTCCGTCAGAGTTCTCACAGCCATCATTATAGACTGCATCTTAAAGGGTTTATTCTTCCACATGCGAGAGAGCAGATTGAAAATATGCTTATTCGCGACAATTCCGATATTCCAATTTACTCTTTCGAATATGATAATCGTACTCTTGGATTAACCAACAGCTACATATAGTATGAAAGAATAGACACTGCAGATATGTCGAATGAGCTTATGACAAATATGTAATATAAATAGCGTTTATTGCTTCTTTGATACAGACTTTAGATGCTGTTCCTATCAAATCTGATTAATTACAATAAAATTTCAATGTCCGTCGCAGATAGATAGTCTTATCTCCTTCCGCTTGTCGTCTCCATGTAGATTAGTCACCCCTATTAATTTCGCCTATACACATTAACGTGTCCATTTAACCTGGAATACTCTGCCATTATACGTCCGCAATTAGGACATTCGTGGATCACATTCTTGAGATCGTTCAGCTGCAAAGGAAATCAAAATATGCGAAATGTACTTGTTAAATTAAATATTTCGCCTACGCTATATCACAAGTCGCAAAAGGTACTTACGCAGAACGGTATCAGACAACATCCGCCATTCAGACCGAAACACATTAAAGCAAAGCTTGCAAGCCACGTTGCTGATCCGTTTCTATACCGTGTATGACTTAGCACTACCCTTTGACATTGTGGACAAGTAGTCACTACTGGCTGATCCTTAATGTCAGCTAGCGGCACAGCAGGTGTTAGAATTACAGTGTCTCGTGAAGTGCCATAGGTTGGATTTGGTATTGCAGGGTATGGGTTGGTGTATGACATTTTAGGAGTCGAAGCATTTAAACGGTCGGTCTCCCGCGGGACAGGGCTCGTAGAGGAAGCAGCGGATGCTACTGGTGTGTAAGGCGGGGGTGCTTCTTCGACAATGTCTTTTTTCTTATCAGATGAATCCCGTTCCATATTTGTTATATTATTTGTAAGAGAGAGAGAAAGTCGAGTGGCGTATGTATTTATAAAGAACGAAATGGTCTTGGTCAATTAAATCATAAAAGGTGATGCCGAAAATTCCGCAGTCCGGAATGTGGAAGGCCGCGCCGCAGAAAGATTTCAGGGGCTAGAATTGCAAGCGCCATAATAATAATCCCTACTTATCGTATGCCAACATGGTTATGCGTCTACAAACTAAAGTAAACCACGTGTCTTTACAATAAATTTATTGTAATGGTTATAGATAGAATATTAGATCCAAATAGATAGAATCCCAAGCGAGACTATATTGTATCTATGCCTTTTCAAATTTATCCTTTTCTTGCCTACCGTTCGCCTTGTTGTCGAATTGTTGTCAAGCTTCACATTGCGATGAATGACCAAATAACAACATCCTGATGTAACCGTCCGTCGAATTGAAAACGCTAACGTTAAACCTTTAGAATGCCACAATAAATAATCAATTTGGCAACAGCAATATGTCATTCTAAATGATTGTTAGTTTCTTGACTGTTTGGTCAGCATCCCTCTGCAACGTCAAAACTTTCGTTCACAAAATCTCGAAGACGATTTAGAGGTCAAGCCCATTACAGTACTCATAACACTGTTGTTCTCAAGTCAATCCATACTTTACTAAAGTTGAACTCGAAAATGTTTGATTCCAATAGAATAGTTTAATAAGGACCAAATGTAATAATGTCGCAAGCCATTAACTTATTTCTTGACCAAAATATATAGGTAGAAGAATCTGCGAATATGATATAATAAAGTAGTAATAGTTGAATGCTATCGTAGATTTGTAAATTTTCAGTGTGTATTTATCGACGCTCCTTTCAGTGAAAACGTGGAATATTATCGATTGAGCCATTTATAACGTTCCCCTTGTCTTCTCCGGTATAATCAACGTTAATTCTTCATGTAGAATACAGAGACACTGGCTTTCGTGATTCTCTTTTGTGCCGGTGTCTTCATCACCGTTCATGATAATTAATATGATCACAGTCTCCTCATATCGAGAAGAACGTATAACGTTCAATGCTACTTTGATAAATGTTCTTCCCCATCCTCATTACTCAACCCGCTTCAATAATCTCCTTAGTCTACTCATTGACACAAATTCAACAAGCATGAACAAGTATCGCAGCATGAAGCGAAAGCGTCACATATCCCTAAACATGCTAACCAACAGCAACAATCACAAGTTCCATATAAGCACATATTAGTTGCAAAGTTATTCTCCCCTCTTGTCTTCCCCCTAGTGGTTCTACTTCTGATATCGCCACTGTTTTCACTCTTTTCTACGGTCTGAGAGTCAACAGGAGTCGTTGATGAAAAGGGCCGAGACGGTTGTTGGGTTGGAGCATAGGAAGCATTAGGGTATGTGGGAGTAATTGAAGAATCATTTGTATACGGTTGTGGAGTAGGCATTGCGTATTGCGAAGGTGACGACGACATTTTAAAAGTCAACGAGTATAAAGTTCAACCGGAGGGAAGATGGTGGGTGGGGGTGTTTTCGAGATTATCGAGATTTTTATTAAATGTTTGACTTCTTGAACAGAGCGCAATTGTGCTTGTTAAAAAAGCGATTTTTTGTGTTGTCTGTTTATATTATACCCACTACCCAAATCTATTCTACTATGACATAACGGGCAAACTTAACAGTACTTTTTTGCATGATGATCGTATGTGGCTGGACGATCACAATTAATGTGCGTCACACTTGTCAGGTGGCCCATCCAGCCCTTGGCAAACCAAGACTTTTAAATTTGGGAATCTAACCAAATTTAAACCGTGCTTTACATACTGTATTTACTATTCTTAATATCCCAAATATTTGACCAGGTCAGTATTAGATGACAGTATATTTCCCTATCGATATCGGTGTACTGTCAACCATTGGTTAATAATCTTCTGGTACATTCTCTATCTAATTTGAGCGACGTAAGCCAGTTATTTTTCAATAATACTAAGTAGTAGGCTTCTCCATGCATAGTGTAACCGTACGTTCCGTATTCCATTCATTAGGCTTCTCCGTGTAGAAGCGCACCAGAAGTCTTTGATACTCGCAAATTCGATTTTGGTGGTATTATTATGTATTTGACGGCTACTTAAAGATAGGCAATTCGATAAAGATTTAGTATGCGATATTTGGGGACTACGACCACCGATGGTTGGGTGGTGTTGTAATGCTAATATTAACAGGCGTTCTACACTTATTACAGGGAAGGGCGATTGTAGATTAGCACTTTGCAGCTGGGGCAACTTTATTGTAATATGCAAAATCCTTATCATGTCTTGAGACGAAGAGCAAATATTCTTTACCGAGATGTCAATATTGGAGAAAGTCGGTTTACAATGTTAACATCGTTTATTATCTTACAATTTAATGACTCAAAATTTTGAATAAACTTGTAATCGCGTTTTTTTTTATATCACTTTTCAATTAAATTACTATCTGCTTGCACGTACGCACGCAAACGAACGACGATTCACATGTACGGTGTCAATACGGTTTGAATTAATAAAATTCGAAGAGGTCTGTCTGCATGATGTGCGTTGAGTAAAGTTTCGTAGTTTGACTTTTTTTGTATTTCTATAAATTAATAAATGCGACTCTGTACAGTTTACTGTACGTGCATGTTGGAATTTGGAAGTTTAGCGCTTAAATTAAAGTGGCATTTTTCGATGGCATTACTTGCATTTTCAAAAATGTTAAGGGCGACATCCGATTGTATTTACTCTTTTTCAATGTTTGTACTATATTTAAATATACACACCCTGCTGATATTTATCTTGTAGGTATCATACAAAAACGTTACATTATAGTAATCGTTGCAATGGCACTAAAATTTAATGTAAATCTGGGTATTTAATAAAAACAGTGTCTTATCCGGTCGCGGTCAGTAAGAATTGATGTAAACAGCTTTATTAATAATATAATAATTGGCGTGTTTTTTAGGCTCTTACTAAGAAATTATTAGGAAAAAAAAACTTACATGCTAAGTCAATTAACAAAATCTGGAGACTTGTTTAAATTCGTGATTAAAATATTGACTTTTATCCATTGTTCTAATAATGTTATACTGTCGCCGTCAACGTTTGTAAAGTCGACAGCTTGTAACATTACATGTGAGAAAAAATTTCTAGATTTATTGCTTGTTTTATTCGCACCAGAAAATTAAACACTGTAAGTAAGGACTTTAGTTTGATTCTGACGTTGGCCATGTGTTTCTGTTAAATTAGACACCCACCCATATTAACAAATTAATTTTTGTGATGTTTGACATTAAGTCGCGTAGCATCTTGAGCGTTTTCTGTTGACCAAACTGTAATCGCGATTATAAAGTAAGATTATGTTATTTACTTGCCATCAAAATACATTCCCAAAGTAACCATAATTAAATAAATTTCTGTTTATGAGTCAAATGCAAGCTCCGTTTTCTCCGTTTCCCGGTAGAAGTTGTCGAATAACTTATACTAGTCTGATTTTCTCGCAGTAAGAAACAAGTATACAGCAGTATGACTTTATTTATTTAAGAAGAAATATTTACTGAGGTTGTGTCCAAATCTTCTCTTAGCGTCAAGTGTACAGTATTTGTGACGTAAATTTAATATCTCATTGCAACATTGTTGCATTTCAATTAGTTGTCGAAATCTTGAGCTTATACTCCACAGATCTTCCTAATACCAAATAAATAAAAGCCAACCCTTATCACGTTTGACCTCTCTCCCCACTTTTCATAGATCAGCGCAAGTCGTAACTGCATATCACTACAATCGATGCTGTGCATGTGTTACTATAGTATGTGACACAGTCAATATGTATAACATGCAGAACTTCCAAGTCAACAGTAATAACAACAATGACATCAATTACCTCTGAGAAGGAATGGTTAGAAAAGAGACTTGAAAATGAAGACATTCGATTCTATCCTTATGATAGTTTAATCGATAAAGACTGCATAGGCTATGGTGGGTTTGGTGTAGTTTTCAAAGCAAAAGTAGCAACATCGGGCATCACTGTTGCTTACAAGATGATCAAATATTCGGACGAAGGCGAGTTCTTTAAATGCTTTGTAAACGAGGTTTGTAATCTTGCATACGGAATGATGCTAGAGTTTACGTAATTTGGGTTCTTATATTCCGTTCGTTTCATTGACACATATTCTAGCTCAAGATCCATCGTATAGTAGATGACCATCCCAACATAATTCGATTCCTTGGCATTAGCAAAGGTAACGGTGAAAAGATTCCATGTACTAGGAAATGAGCATGAATATAATACTTTTCGATCGTTCAACAGATATCAAGGGAAGATACTTGATGGTCTTCGATTATGCCGACAATGGTTCATTACGGGAATACTTATCGACGCCAGCTATCAAACTAGATTGGCCTGCCAACTGTCAACTGGGTTTGGATATTGTTAAAGGGCTGAGATATATTCATACAGTAGGAATCTTGCATAAAGATTTAGTAAGTGTATTACTCATTATATGATTTTGTTTAACGTAGATTGTATATTGACATATTGCTTTCTAATGTTATTACAAGTCTTCGAACAATGTATTAATTCATGGGAAAACGGCTAAGATCACGGATTTTGGTACATCTGAAAAATTGTTGCTACAAAAGACTTGCTCAGATCACCGGGGAACTCATGCATACCTTGATCCTAAATGTTTCAATGGCAATGACAGTAAACGAGATGAAAAATCTGACATTTTTAGCCTTGGAATTGTTCTATGGGAAATATCCAGCAGAGAATATCCATGTAGTGAATTCGACAGCATATCAGACATTCTGATGTATAGACTGAATGGTGGTCGCCATGATGTAATTCCAGGCACACCAGAGGAGTATAAAAACTTATATATAGAATGCTGGGATGATGATTCGGAAAAACGACCAACCAGCAAACAATGCTACCATAGATTAAAAGATATAACGGAAAACCTGAACCAATTACCAAAATGTGATACTAACCAAAATAGTGAGAAGATTAAAGATCACTCTCTTTCCAATGAGTTGTTAATATTATACAACAAATTACTACTTACAGGGAAATCTATGAAACAGATAGCTGATTACATCAAAAGTTGGCTGATACTAAATAATGATAAACACAAAAGTTCATTGGCTACATTAAAGGATCATTCTGATTGTGGACAATGCTTTGGGCTGATTGGATTCTTCTATGCACATGGAATAGAAACAGAAACAGATTTTGGACAAGCTGTTCTATGGTATCAACAATCAGCAAAGGCAGGTGATGCTGCAGCACAGTGTAATCTTGGCATTTGCTATGAGAATGGGACAGGAGTGGAAAAGAATGTTCAAAAAGCAATTGAGCTGTTTCAGAAAGCAGCTGAACAAGGACATGCCAGTGCACAATATAATCTTGGTGTTTGCTATGAGAATGGGACAGGAGTGGAAAAGAATATTCAAAAAGCAGTTGAGCTGTA